AGGTTGTAAGTGGGTATTTAGAAGAAAATACAATATAGATGGGTCTACTCAGACATTTAAAGGCAAGCTGGTTACCAAGGGTTTAGGGAATATACTATTTCGATACATATGCATCAGTAGCTAGGCTCACATCAATTATAATATTGTTTGCATTGGCATCTTTATATAATTTGCATGTGCATCAAATGGATGTGAAAACAACATTTTTAAATGGTGATTTGGATGAAGAAGTCTATGGAACAACCAGAAGGGTTTGTTCTCCCTGGGAATGAAAAGAAGGTTTGTAAATTAGTAAAGTTGTTATATGGATTGAAGCAAGCACCAAAACAATGACATGAAAAGTTTGATTTTGTCATTTTATCATATGGATTTAGACATAATAGTGCTGATAAATGCATATACTCTAAATTCACAAATGATTATGGTGTTATTATATGTTTATATGTCTACGAATTTTTAGTACGAACATGAAAGGTGTATATGAAACTAAAGAGTATCTAAATTCAAAATTTAAGATGAATGACTTGAATGAAGTAGATATTATCTAGGGAATTAAAGTAAAGAAGCATAGTAGGGGTTACGCTTTGTGTTAGTCACATTATATAGAAATATTGCTTCTTAAGTTTAAGCATATACAAATAAAAGAAGCAAGTACCCCTTATGACCCTAGTGAAACTTTGCTTAATAATTCTAGTAGGTCTGTTGCACAGCTTGAGTATGCTAGTGTAATCGGAAGTTTAATGTATGCCCTACACTGTACCAGGCCAGATATCGCATTTGTAGAAAGAAAACTTTATAGATACACTAGTCATCCAGGTACTGCTCATTAGAAAGCAATAAAAGAAGTTTTGGTTATTTTAAAAGAACTATTAACCTGAATTTAACTTACTCTGAGTTTCTAGCAATACTTGAAGGATATTCAGATGAAGTTGGATAACAAGTGCTAATGATAATAAACCTACATCATGGTGGATTTTTACAATTGCCGAAGGAACAATTTCTTGGGCTTTGAAGAAAAAACGTGTATAGCACATTCAAATATGAAATCTGAATTTATAACATTAGTGGTAGCAAGTAAAGAAGCGGAATGGGTTAGAAATTTGTTATTGGAAATAGAGTTGTGGCCACAACTAATGCCATCCATTTCCTTATACTGTGATAGTGAGGCTACTTTGTCTAGAGCATACAATAAGGTATACAATGGAAAGTCTAGATATATTAGCTTGAGACATGAATATGTTAAGCAATTAATAACTGATGGGGTTATTAATATTATTTATGTTAAATCAAGTAATAACTTGGCGGATCCATTAACGAAAGCACCTTCAAGAGCTTTGGTAGTTAGTACATCTAGTGGAATAGGGCTCAAACCCTTTACTGAAAATTAGCCACCAATAATGGTAACCCGACTTTGTCTAGAACATAACTAGTTTAAAAGTTTAATGGGTAATAACAAGTTATTGATAAGTGGTTGTCAAAGCACTGAAAATTAATATATACTCATTCCAGGATGATTAGTGCAAGACTGCTACGTTAAGGAGGATGAGTTTTATCTCTTAATGAGGTTATTTGTAGTTATGTCTATAGTAGCAGGGACATGAGAATGAACCTCACCTATATGAACATAAGAAGTGGTGCCACTTCTACCAAGAGTTGGGTTTTCTCTTGTAAATGTTCATGAAACCAGGATGAAGCACAAGGCCATAATAGTGATTAATTAGTTCAAAAATTTCTTTAAGGAAATAAGACATAGTCATATGTGTAGTGATTATGGTTTTACCATAAGAATAGTTGGTTTAAACTTAGGTCACCATCGCATTCGTTATAACTTTGAATTACTTACTCTAATTAAAGGTTTAGTTTAAAAGATACCTTTATTGTATATGCTTGTGATAATTATAAAGAGAGAATTGTTGTAATATCATTTTCTATATATTCTTAAAATAGGGAAGGATTGTTAAATACTTATAAAAAAAAATATAAAAAAAAAAAAATATATATATATATATATATATATATGCGGCTGTTTGACGGGAAGTTAGGTTATTGACCCAACAATTATATCTCTTCAATTTGAAGCATTGCAGCTTTTCATTGTTGCTAACAAAGATACCCATTGGTTGGGCATCTGATCGCATGCTTTACAACATATATGCCCTTTGGGTAATTGGTGTTTTGTATCAGATAAGTCCATTGGACATACTGCTGCAATGAGTTGTATCCCATGGGGAAAAGGCATACTCAAACCAAATGATGTGTCTAACAGCTGTAAATCTCTATATATATATTGGTAACATTAGCAGAAGAGAAACTCATTCAGAATTTTGTTGTCTACACAATTGCTTTGCTCTCTTCTCTCTCTCCTTCACATTCATACAATTTCTAGTTATTTCTAAGGGAATACAATTCGGTTTTGCTAACCAAATATTTCATACTTTGTTGTATCCTGGAAGTAATTTTCCAAAAACCCTTTAGCAAACTCATTCGAGTGAGGGCAAATAACACTTTAAGAAAACAATTCAAGTCGTACCTCAAAGTCATCATTCGGATTATTCTCTATATTTCTACATTTATACTCTAACATAGCTAGCTTTTGTCGACCTTGAGTCGTGTTAAAAGTTTCCACTGATCTTCCTAATACGATTGAGAATAATGTTGAGCATATTCTTGAAACTTGTGGATTCCAGCTGAATACATCTAAAACTCAAAAATGTAGATAAAATTTCACTGGTAGATATTGTCGCTCTGTAATAGTAGAGGCCTTTCAGACCAATGAAACGGGTAAGCTTTCCTCCTCCTACTTTCAAATATTTTCTTGTTTCTCCACCATTCATGAAGGTAATTAGTGTCGTTGTTGAGCAGTTAGAATATTTCACATGCCTGTGCTTTCTCTATCAATTGACCAGTGACAAAGAGATGCCCCTCCAAAAAAAAAAAAATGAGACGCCCATGCCAGTGATAGGCTGATTGTTTGACGATGGCCCTACTAGGGCAAATCCTGGGCCACTAAGAGAAGGTGACGTACCAATGACCAAAATGGATGGTTAAAAGAGGACAAGATGCCAATCAAAATCAGAGAGGAAAGGATAAATTATAAAAGGTTGTCAAAACTTGGGCTAATTATAGCCAGCATTATTGGGAGTTTTCTTGGAGACTTATTACTATATATATAATTGTTAGTAGTGGTGTAATGTTGCATGCAAATAGGAAGAAGGGCAAACAAGTAACGAGCAACAAGAGGATGATCTGATCAGCTGGATTTTCACCTAACACCTGTATACCCCAATCCCCTCACGTCTCTGTGTGGCGCAGTATGAATAAATCCATCGATGGGTGTGGTGTTGATATGGAGGGCGGCATTGAGACGCTTGTTTCCTAGTCACTTATGAGTGACGTGCATACAACTTACGTGTTAACACAATATAAAAATGTTCGTGCGTAATTGTGATTATGTGTTGTTTTCTTTCATTTCATGACTTCACAGTATAAAAGGTTTATACATAATTACAACATATGTATATAGTATATGTATACAATTATGTGTTATATCTCTTACCATATGACTTGTATACGATGACAGACACAAAATACATGATTGTACATAAAAATTAAAGAGTTACTTCATAAAAGAAGTTAACCCAAACAGTCAGTCTTCTAAAAAAATTGAGATTAATAAGCATTATCACTTACCTTATCTTCCTTTCTGCCTTAATCCATCTTATTTGCTGATGAGGTAATAAGAGAGGGATGGGTGAGGGACAAAACAATGTGTGGAATGACGGGTGATTAGCAAGAGAAAAAAAAACAATGATACCTAAAGGGAAAACTAAAACAATAATTTAGAGGCAATTCGAAATAGTGTTAACTATCAAACTTTTATTTCGCATTCTCTTCCTCTTTATTAATTTTCATACGCATTTCTTCTTTACTTCTAATTAAGCAAACGAAAACTAAGGGGTGTATTGAGTAGAGATTTTGAAGGGTTATAACCCATAAAGTTTTGATGGAGCTTTTACAGAAAGTCATGGCTAGTGAAGGGAGGAGATTTTATATGCATGCGTTTAATTTTGTTTACCTAGTGAATGATGATGAATAATTGTTTACCTAGTGACTAAGACAACGAGCTCAGAGTTTTAATTGATTTCTACGTACTTGGGTTGGATTTGTTGTATGCTTAAAATACTATATCAAATCTCTCCAAATTCACCTAAATTCCTCACTTTTTGAAATTCTTTAAAATCAAATGTTATTGACTGCACAAGAAATTTAAAAAATTCATTTCAAATCCTAATTGAATACATTCGAATTTAGTAAAATTTTATAAACTCTCCTAAGATTCTAAATGAATACCCTTGGATTTGTTAAAAAAAATTCAAATCTCCCATAATCCTAATTAAATGAACTGAACTTTAAAACTTCAATTAAAATTCTGATTAAATACATCCATATTTTTGTAATCTTTCAATAAATCACAATTTAAAATCCTTTAAAAAAATCACAATTGAATGCATCCAGATTTTAATATATTTTTATAAGGAAAACCGTTACAATTTTCTTTTTAGTTATCGAAAGTTTGAACTGCAAAATGAGATTTTTGTACTATCAATAACAATTTATTTTATAAATTATTTTAAAAATCTAAATGAATACCACTAAATTTGTTAAAAAAAATTAAATTAAATCAAGTAAAAAATTCAAATTGGATACTTTTCTTTATTATACAACGAATATTACTATTTTAGACTGTACTAATTGGGTACTCCTCTAACCATAGAAAATCAAAGTGTCACTGGACAGAACCTACCAGATGCATCGACGTCACCGGACACATAATACGGGGCGTCGCATTATGACTAAAATTTAAAAAAAGCACTATTCATTCAATTATTGTCTGTGGAGCCAATCACTAGTTTTCCAAGAGCCGTAAAGTTATTTCTTTTCTTTTCTAATCTTCCCAGTATCCTTATTTCACGCCCATGCAGCTATATAAAGGCATGAGCGGCACCAACCTAGTATCATAGTTCAAACTCAAACACAAAGGCGAGAGAGAAACAGAAACAGCCCGCAGAAGTCTCTGAGAGTGTTTGGAGAGTCAGAAAACATGTCCACCGTTATACTCAGCAGTGGCTACGAGATGCCGGTCATCGGCCTCGGCCTTTGGCGTCTGGAGAAGAACGAGCTCAAAGACGTCATCTTAAATGCTATTAAGCTTGGCTATCGCCATTTTGACTGTGCTGGTATACCCTCCATCACTCACCTCATCCTGTTTTACATTAACCCATGCATATTTTACATTAATTTTGGTTTACTTCGTTCTAAATAATTCATAGTATATTTTTATTAAAGGAAAACTAATGAAAAGGGCTTGAAAACTTTGAGTTTTAATGATAAGGACAAAATAAAGGGTAAAGTGAATAGTACCATGATTGACTTTTTAGTGTAAAAATGTGGTTTTTCGTTAAAATGAACAGTACCAGGTGCTTTTCGTTAAAGTTCCCTTCCAAATACTGGCTAGAGAGGGGAAGAATCGAATATCGGACTTGATGAGAATGGGCGGATGTTCCTGACTATTGGACACAAAGCTCCCTTGCTACCTAGCTAAGTTATTAAACGGTTGACTATTTTTGCCACTAGTGTTGGCAAACTATTAATAATTTGCTACAAGGAATCACATGCATCATGCGTAAGTTTTTTTATGAACAAGAAAAGTGTACAAGCCATAAAGGCGGCGGTGATGCAATCTGAACATTACTTTTTTGGTTACATGTGAGACTAGCAAAGGAAAAATGAAAGTAATATATGTAAACGACTCAAACTATAGGAACCAGTGGCGGAGCTAGAAATTCATGCCAGGAGGGACCTTTAAACTAATGAAAGAAATTAGAAAAAAAATTAGTAATATCATGGACAATTTGAATCAACCAAGAGTGATGGAGCTTTAAAATTTGTATGAAAAAATTAGTATTGAGAGATATCATAGTAAATAGAACTTGTGTTGACATCTAACGCAACATTGATAATAACATTATAACTAGCTCAAACTATTATTACGATATTTTTCTTTTAATATTATTGAATCTTCCTCTCGAATATATATACCTTGTTTTATATGAACTAACAAAAAAATAAGCTATTATTACGATACTTTTTTTAATATCATTCAATCTTCCTCCCGAATATATATACCTTGTTTTATATGAACTAATAAAAAAATAATTGGTTTAAAAGAAATCAGAATGTTAGCAGAAGGGTAGTTATATATGGTAATTGGTAAAAAAATATCAAAAAGTAGCTTTCTGTCAGCAAGCGTCGACCCCAGGACCTACTGAAACCTTTAAAACCTAACATACCAACACACCACATGCACATTATTGCAAAAATTACTACATAATCATTATAAATTTATTTCCAGGATGGGCCATGGACTACCCTAATCTCCATGTGGCTCCACCACTGATAGGAACCCTTTGTCCAAAACCATGGAAAACCCGTTTGTTACTTTTATAATCGCTTGGTTACACTAATATATATATATATATATATATATATATATGGTTATGATTCGGTGATATAAATTTTGACACTTATGTTATAGGGTCCACTTCATAACATATTTGTTTACTATGAATTGTAATAAATGAGGGTTTTATATTTTATTTGTTTAGGCCGAAAATGGTATTTTAGTTTATTCCAAAAATGGCAATTTGTTTTTTAGGACGCGGATAAGTGCACCTCCCATGACCACAATTCGCAGATTAGGTTAAGGCACTAAGTTAGACTTTTATAAATGTATTTGTATAAAAGTGGAGAAGACAAATGAGTCCCAGACCTTCGCTTATATTTTTCGACCAATCCCATGTTTGCTTCTCCCCTTGGGAAAGGGAATAATAATAATAATAATAATAATAATAATAATAATAATAATAATAATAATAATAATATCGTACGAATATTGTAATTTGAGAGGATGCTCACTGTAATTTGAGAGGACCGTCTTAAGCATAATGAGCAATTCACCACTTGTAAAAACTTATTTGTGGAATATAAAGTTAAAAAAAAAATTGGTCTTTATGTTGTAAATTTAAATCTAGATGTGTCACTATTTTATGGTTAAGAATGGTAAGCTATTTGACGTTGCAGCTCATTACAAGAGTGAAACAGACGTTGGGGAAGTATTTGCAGAAGCATTTAAGATTGGACTTGTCAAGAGGGAAGAACTTTTCATTAGCACCAAGGTATGTTCAAGTAATTTACTTCTTTGGTTTCAAACTAGTTTTATAAAATAATAATCTGGTGGAGATTTAGGCTAAGCCATAAAATGGATCCGTTGTAACTAAGTATTGAAGTTTTCATATATGAAAGTCAAATCTAAAACCTCTTACTCACAAATGAATATGAATATATATATCTAAATTGTAATGGTAGTGATGAAGTATTAGTGTTTATCTCACATTCTCTCAAGACAATGGACATATAATTTGTTGTTGTTATAATCATATTGCAGATTTGGAATTCAGACCATGGGTATGAGGTTGAGGCCTGTAAAAACAGCCTCAAGAAGCTTCAGCTAGATTATCTGGATCTCTACCTAGTTCACTACCCATTGCCCACGAAGCATAATGGTACCTCCCCCTCTCTCTCTTTTTAGGTTAGATTATTGGGATTTGATGTCGTTCATATCTTCTTTGTGAGATCCTCATATCATATCCGTTTATCGTACATTGTGTGGCCAGAAATCATTTTGAATTTTTTTCATTTCAAATTAAACACAAAGCAGTGCCTACGAATAGTTGATCGCATGAATGTACAATGAACGGATAAAGATGTGAGGATATGAAAAAAGATCCTCATCCAGATTATTGTATCACTCAACGCTGCGACAATGAATTGGTATTTATTTTACTTGCTGTATGGTCACAGCCATTGGTCAAACTGCCAGTCTTATGGGCAAGGACAAGGTGCTGGACATAGATGTAACAATTTCCCTTCAACAAACCTGGGAGGGGACATGGAAAAGACTGTCTCTTTGGGCTTAGTTCGTAGCATTGGTCTCAGGTACATCCCATAAGCATTTATGCTGCACCTTCATCTTCGTATCCGAACTCGATTAGACCGGTGAATGTCGCTAAACCAAATTGTAATTGGCTTCGTTTTTGCAGCAACTACGACCTCTTTCTAACCAGAGATTGCTTGGCTTACTCCAAAATAAAGCCTGCAGTGAGCCAATTTGAAACTCACCCCTACTTCCAGCGCGACTCTCTCGTCAAATTCTGCTTGAAACACGGTGTTCTTCCCACAGCTCACACCCCTCTAGGAGGTGCTGCGGCCAACAAGGATATGTTTGGTTCAATTTCACCTTTGGATGATCCAGTTCTCAATGTAAAGTATGTTCTCTGTTTTACACATGCACCATTCAAATGTCGTAATTACGATATAACAATCTCTGTTTTCTAAAACAATGAGCCAACCATAGAAATTAGATATCGAACCTGCCATTCATGAGAGAAATACATCTAGACCGTAATGCTCACTTGAGTGTTTCATTTTCAGGATGTGGCTAGGAAGTACGGGAAGAGTGTGGCACAAATCTGTCTGAGGTGGGGAATTCAAAGGAAAACAGCAGTGATTCCAAAGTCATCGAAAAAATTCAGAGATTGAAAGAGAATTTGGAGGTTCTTGAATTCCAGCTGAGTCATGAAGACATGGAGGTCATAAACACTATAGACAGGAAATGTCGTGCCAGTCTACCTTCCAAGAGTTGGGGCTTAGATGTGTATACGCATAAGCGTGGAATTCAAAATCCTCCGAATTGCTGCTTCTGCAACTTCTTCAAAGGGTGTTAAACGGACGCGAAATGGTAAGTATCGTGACTCTTACTTACAATAAACTGAGCTTTATATAATTTTCCCCAAGCTTCGTCTATCTGCTAGTTCAAAAACTTTTATTATTCGGCCTTTGTTTTGGGCATTGCAAACGAGAATATATAATCAAATGAATGCCATTGTAATTTTTTTTTTTTTTGTATTAATGAGTGATTAAAGGCTTTGTTGTTGTTGTTGTAAATGAGTGACTAAAGAAAGTGTAACAAGTTACACAGAACCAAGGACAATGACATTCTAGGATTCATATAGCAGACTCCACTTACTGGGAAAAGGCTTTGTTGTTGTTGTTGTTGTAATAAATGAGTGATTAAATAAAGTGTAACAAATTACATATTGCATAACTATTTGTTGCTTGCTTGTTCATTTGAATCGAATAGTACGGAGTCACAAAGCTTTACACCCAATCACCTTTGCACTAGCTTTTGTAAGTTTGCGCTCAGTATACAAATGGAATAATGGCGAGCCGTTTCTTGGGATAGCTTTCAAATTTCTGGAGGTACCACCTATGCGTTTCCGCTGCTGCCAATACTAAGTTGGACACCTGAAAGACACCAAATAAGAGAGTAAAGCACACGGAGAAATAAGTTTACTTTAGAAGACGTCTGTCTATGCGTGTGTGCGCACACTCATGTGTGCATGTGTATGTACGTATATATTCAGCACATAAAAATCATACCACAAATCCAAAAAGTAACCAGATTGTGAGATCTGTTCCTCCACTAGCGACCACAAGGCCAGCATATATAACCTTCATCATTATCAAAAGAGAAATTTAGCATATACATCAAGACTCGGAAAGAGTTTAAGTTATTCGAGACAAAAAAAATCTCTTTAAGCAGGCAGTGAAGGGAGTCACGAGACTTACCATCTCAGCCAGATAGTGTGGAGATGAAACAATTTCAAACCAATCACCATGAGGAATCACATATTCATCATTTGGTTCACTGTGATCTCGTAATGAGCCCTGTAATAATATTTCACATGTCAGGAACATTATAAAAGTGAATGCAAGGAAGATCGAGATAAGAAACACAATATCCGCATTCCCTAATTCAGCTGTATGAAATGAAATTAGTATATATGTCTTAGAATGCATGCATTGAGAGAGAGAGAGAGTGTGTGTGTGTGCGCGCGTGCACGGTGACACACACTGAGACATACAAGAATTGCATGACATCGGCGCTGATGGATCCAACCCCAAAAAAATATAGCTGCACCAATCCACTGGAGCCAACCAAGCTTCAAAAGAGAGTTCACAAATTGTAACCAATCAAATTCCACTTCTCGCATGCTACTCTTGCCTTTGACAATGAACTCAGCTACTCCACTTATTGAAAATTTATAGACCTCCAGAACATTATTGCAGCAAAGTGACAGTGGTGCTGCTGTGTAGAAGCTAACATAAAAAAGGAACAGAAATCACTAAAAAAAAAATATCTTCTATTCCACAATTTTGAAAACACCAAAATACACGACGAGAACTGACAATTATGTGTAATAGTAACATTTATCATTCCAGAGCACATGAGGTTCGTCAGTTATGACTTCCAGTAAATATAGGTGACCACTGAGCTTTGCAATTATTGAAGCAATCTCTAGTATTTACAATTTTAGAAGATATCATACCTTGGAAGAAAGAAGAAAGTCATAGGCGTTTTAACCTATTGGAAACTACAGTAGGAGTAACAGAAAAATAGAATTGCAACCAGTTTTCCTACACTAGACCATTTGATAATTGGTTTAACAAGTTTAACTCCCGTGTACGTATTGAAAGCCAAAATGGAAACAGAATTATAATTAAATTTAAAGTGAAACAACCTTAAGTTAAGAATAGAGTACTTAGCATTGAATAGTTATATATGGTTATGCTTTTTGAATCATAACTAGAAACCGAACTTAAATACGGTTAGCTCAAGAGGAGCCTACTGTGCCAACTCTGTTAAACCAAATTTGATCTGAAAATTTGAAATATTCCCAATACATTTTCAAATCAATCAAAGATTCAAATTTAATATAACAATATATATATATATATAAATGCATATGCATAAAACCAATATCTTTACAAGGAAGGGGTTTGTGAATAACTTACAAGAGGCCAGTCAGATATCCGAAAATGTGCATCCGCGCGGAGGAGCTATAGTTGAACACATATATTGTCTCAAAGAGGCGCCTCAAGACTTGAACTTCCATCAATAAAAGCAGAAAGACCGAACGCCAAATGCTATATCTATAACTGACAGGAACCGAATGAACCTTGTTCCATGAAACGATATGTAAACCCCCAGTGAAGTGGCTGGCGATTGAAGGGTAAAGCAACGATTCTGAAACCAATGGCACCGTTTTATACGCATACATCGAAGTTGCAACGAGCAATAGCGTTGTCCACGCTACAGCCACCACATAGAAATGGCAGAAGAACTTTTGAGGAACTGTGAACTTCTACAATTAGAAAAAGTAAAAAAAAAATTAAAATTTATCATGTAGTGTACAGAAAAATAAAACTAGATAAGAGAAGAATTCATAAGGACTTGAAGGTCGGTTGGTTAAGAACATTCAATCCCGAATATGATTACCCTCACTCTCAATATCGCCCATGACAATTGAACAGTAATACCTTGTTTCTCACCAACCAAACAGACCATAAACCCATGACAATTGAATATGATTACCCTCACTCTCAATATCGCCCAATTTCTTCAACTTTCTCACCAACCAAACAGACCATAACCCAAAATAGACCATCAAATCCTTTACCTGAGATGACGACTGCGTGATCTTCCCTCTCTTGGCAAACCCCAGAACAGCTCCATCAAACGAGGCCAGCCCAGAACAAGGTACGGCGGCTACGAGTATGGGCATAGTCGCCGCAACCCATGCTGTTCTAAGCAACCCAACAACACCCACCTCCATTAGAGCGAATACCCAAGTCAGGAAAGAGCTTAATGATTTGGGAAAGGCTGGAAACTGTGACATTTAAGCACTTTCTCAACTGGGTCTTTTAAAAGTCTGCGCCATTTTTGCAGATAAAATGCACATTAAAAAAAGGAAATGAAAAAATGGACAAAGAAAATCAAGACATTTTATCGAAGAACTGAATGCATTCACGATTTACCGGGCAGAAGACAGGAGTCGCCAAGTTCAAGAGGAGATATACTAATACCAGGCGTGACGTGAGGTTTTGGGACAGGGCAGGGTTGATCATCAAATTTTCAAGTCGGCAGGGTTAATGATCAAATTTTATAAATCAAATAAAGTAATTGTTGATGATTGAATAATTTATTAAATGTTGATTAACGTAATTATTTATTATTATTGATATATTATTTAATTTGAAAATTTATTTTACGTAGCATTACGTTTTGATATATAACATAATAGTTAAATGATAAATTTTATTAAATTAATCACCGACAAATTTCGAACTCATGTCGTTATGAGATATTTTTAGTTGGATATCTTTCAATTCAATATTACAATTACTTTTTCTATCATATTGGGGCCTATTTATTCATTCTATGGTGAAATTTTTATCATTTCATATTTTCTTTCTTACTTTTATGTTTTGCTATCTTCTCTTATCTAATCCTTTTTAATTTTTTATTTATGTCTCCCTCATTTTGTGTAACTTATTTTTTTCGTTATCAATAAAATTTCTCTTGTACATCGCTGTTTCTAAAAAAAATAAAAAAAAATCATTTTTAATTTCTCACACAATTGTTATCATAAACTTCTTTTTTTTTTATAAAGAAAATTAATGAAAAGGGTTTCAAAACTTTGAGTTTTAACAAAAACCATCATATAACTTTATTTAATGATAAGAACAAGATAAAGAAAACAAAAAACAAAATAAACTTAACTAAAGGCACGTGCAAAGAGCACCCAATCAATCCTTCAATTGCATAACATTTTGACATAATCCGAGCATATTTTATTCCTCTAAAATTAAAATTTCAAATTGAAGTGGGTTCCGTTCGATTCAGAACCATATCTGGGGCGGTATGGTAGGAAGTCAGTCAGGTGTGGGTTGGGATGGTTGGGGGTAAGGGTGAGGCAACATCATTGACAACATCGTTGGACTCATCACCCATTTTCTAGTAATGGTATTGAGCTATAAGCCATGCATGACTTTAACAACGTGGACGTTAATCTCTATCATGTTTTTTTAAATCTTTTTATTGCATTATGGTGAAAGAACTTCAATATCTGGGACGAGCATCTACCATTAAGTTTCATAAACAGTGTAGTATCATTAATTTTCATAAACAGTGTCGTACCGTTAAGTTTCATAAACAGTTTGCGTAACGGGTGCGCGAGTCAGCGCATCCGTTTTTTTTTTTAATATTAAAATTATGTCTTTTTCATTAAATAAAGTTATAGCATAGATTTTTATTAAGATAAACTTAATTCAAGCCCGTTTCATGAAAGTTTCCTTTTTTATAAGCAGAAATTGAATTCAAGGCACACACCCACCTATTCTTCAATCGTACCTTTTGCTTTAAAAAAAAAAATCATTTTCAATGATTTTAAGTGGTGAGAAGAGGAATTAGATGTTGAATTAGATACCGACGGGGTTTGAACCCACGCCATTATGCAATGGCTCAACTCCTTTCCGCCACTGTGGTAAAGGGCCACTTGCAATTTAAGATGTTTTCCACTCATATGCATATGTTAAAGGAAAGTAAAATACAATTACAGTTAATATTTAAACATATAATGTTGTGGACTTACTAGATCACCTACATTGGTATCACTTGATGAATTACGATATGCAATACTCATGTAGAACAAATGCTTATGTTATTGATTTGCGGGATTTTATGGGAATTTTAAATACTTTCAAAGTTGTTGATCTATGTGAATTCAAGGACAATGAAGTTCTTTATCCTAACCATAACTCGGGGTCGAGTACTTTTGAAGTGGATGAGATTGATGTAGTGGATTGAAGAGGAAATGGACTGTCGGAAGACAAAAGAACACGGTGGGAATTTGCAGATTTGGCATCTGAGCTCCGATTTGGGTCCATCACACCTTTTTGGAAAGGGAACGACGCTATGAGTCAAACTCACTGCTTTACTGTGTGACATATGATAGCTTTTTCCATCCATAGTCGTTTTAGCCTCCAAAACAATATTTTATTTTGTAATAAAAAAATCAGACATTTGCCATCCGATTAATGTCGTTTTAATTGTTTGAGTCATTTGAGTTGTTCAAGGAGTTGTAATCAATCTACTTAAAGCCTTTAGTTGGTTTAATATACTCATTCAATTATCAATTAAACAAAGAACCTTTTGGAATTTCTCTCAATTTTATGATGGATTCCAGACTTGTTCTTC